ATCTATCTATCTATCTATCTATCTATCTATCTATCTATCTATCTATCTATCTATCTATCTATCTATTTATCTATCATCTATCATCATGTTTTAATCTGTCTTTACACAAAGGGAAAAAAAAACAGTCCAATCTATCAAAAACAGCACCACAAAAAACAGAATAGGAACACAAGTTAAAATAGGGAAGAAAATGATAAGTGAGCACCTGCCTACCCTAGATGAGTTGAAATCATCAGGACCTTCTCACCATAAGGAGAAATTTCTGACAGTTAGAACAATTAATCAGTGGAACAACTTGCCTCCAGATGTTGTAAATACTCCAACACTGGAAGTTTTTAAGAAGAGATTGGACAACCACTTGTCTGAAATGGAATAGGATTTCCTGTCTAAGCAGGAGGTTGGACTAGAAAACTTCCAAGGTCCCTTCCAACTCTGTTATTCTATTCTCTCTACCATCCATCCATCCATCCATCCATCCATCCATCCATCCATCCATCCATCCATCCATCTATCATATGTGTTCTCTGCAGTTATCATTATCTTTGTTTTCTTTATGTTAAAGTGTAGTTCAGATTTTTCACTTTCATCTTTGACTATCAGGATTAGCCCTGCAGACCCTCCTTGCTTACTGCAAGCAATGTTGTATCATCTGCATATTCCTGTGTCATCTAGCAATTAGTTATGTGCCCACACTACTCCAGTATATCTGGTTTCCATTTCTATTTAAATGCAGAAAACTTAAACATCTTAGAGTGGCATTTGCCTGAGCAAGACTTGAGAAACTGGATATGATTGTTAAATATGGAAGACTTAACCAGGTTCCTTATAATGAACAGACTGTCAGCCCTGGAAGCCACCTTTTCTTTGGAGTTTCAGTGCTGCCACATTTAGTGCCCCGGAAAACCGGAGAGGGGATTGCAAGGAATTGGTGGAGTGCTAGCCATAACAACATTCATTTCTCTTGGCGTCAATGGCATTTGGCCTGCACCTTGATGGGAGTGACTGGGGGGTTGTCTCCAGTTGGGACAGTGAAATGATTTGGCCATGTGATGGATTTGTGGGTGCAGGGGATGGATCTTTGACTTTCATTTGGGTGGGGAAAACCTGATATTCTCAGATTCAGGTTTTTGGGTTTTCTCAGATGTGCCAATATGACATCGCTAATAAAATGAAACTTTGAGGAATCGCTAGCCTTGGAGTTTTTAATTGTTGGGGGTGTTACTTGGAATGCTCACAAAGACTTTTATTTGTGGAACTCCAGAGATAGAAGATATACAGCATAATATTTATTATTTGAATGCCAATTCTCTATGAAAGAGACAGAACAATATCTTGGACTGTGCACTGGACCAACAATCTATTTGAATTGTTGTATTGAAATCATATGTATTTCCTGTTATGTCAGAATTCAAAAATGCATGTAATATTCGTTTCTCTGTCAATTTATTTATTCATTAAATGCTACCCATCTCACTGATACAGCAACTCTTCTTTATTGGAACAAAACAATCAAGTTGAGATCTGAAAATGTGGGTCTGATTGCAATTAATTGTATCCCTGATACAGAAATGTGATTTGCATTCTTTATTATTCTATTTACTAAATTTATATTCTTTTATTCTATTTTCATATATGGTTTTGTTAGGTCCATATATGGCCAAAGGGCTTTCAATAATAAAATATTCTAACATCTTAATGAGATCCAGGTTGGATACATTAAAAGCTAATGTTTTAGACTTTATTTGCCCTAAAATATATCATGGTATTCTTCATTGCTTTTTCAGGTAACTTGTAGATTTGTTACAGAGGCTCTGAGTGATAAAAGTAAATTCCCCTTTTTTTACCGGATGGCCCCCAAAAATGAAATCCAGTACCCAGCAATTGTCCAACTGCTCTTCCATTTCAAATGGACCTTGGTTGGAGTCTTTGCTTCAGACACAGAGACTGGGGAACATTTCATGAGAACTTTTACCCCTTTGCTTATCAGGAATGGAATTTGTGTTGTTATATCACAAAGATTCTCAATGTCTAGACCTACAGAACCCTTCAGGGATGCCATCTCTAAGTGGAGGCAAGTCAATGTCTTTGTTTTCTTTACAGACTATAGTACCATGTTGGATGGAATTAGCCAGATCCATTTCATACTTGAAGGCTTGTCAGGACCTATTGAAGGGAAAGTCTGGATCATCACACTCTTTGGGAAATTGCCAATGAAATATCACAAATCTTACAAATATGTCCATAGTATTTGGAACTTCTATATTCAGAAAAGAGCGTATGACAAAACCTTTCAAGAATATATCTTTGTGGAACCCCAGTTTGAAGATCAGTCTTTTAACTGCTCTTTTTCAAGACATGTCTTTTCTGTGAAAGGTCAGAGAAGATGTACGCAGAAGGTACCACTGGAAATCCAAGAGAAAAGAAGAAGTATAAGAATTGACCACAGGGCTGACAGTGTCATTAAGACTCTGGCCCTTGCCTTGAGGGCTGCATATTCCTCCAGAAGGAGAAATAAGAAAGATGTAGAGAGTTTGTGGGCTCCAATTGTGCAGCCATGGCAGGTATGGGTCCCGACAAGGATATACATTAAATTTAGTTTCCTTGGAGAAGTAATCTAAAGAGAAGTAAAAGAACCCTTTTAACCTCTACTAGGTTTGACCAATCCTATTACTCAGGTCATAATTTCCTGAAGGGTGGGAGCTATGACAATCATATTTTAATTATAAAAGAATGTATGCATTTTAAATGAATTTGTATACATACATATGGATTTGTGATTATCATCATGCAATTTTATCATTATAAATATGAAGGAGACTCTGAGACCATCTAGACAACCCCTCCTCTCTGCTGCTAAATCCCAGCTAAAGCTTTTCTGCAGTGGTGAAATTCTTTTTTTTTTACTACCAGTTCTGTGGGCGTGACTTGTGGGCTTGGCAGGGGAAGGATACTGCAAAATCTCCATTCCCATCCCACTCTGGGGCCAGCCAGAAGTTATAGTTGCCAGTTTTCCGAATTACTAGAAATATCTGCTACTAGTTCTCCAGAACCTGTCAGAACCTGCTGAATTGAACCCCTGCTTTTCTGATTGATGACTGCTTGGTCTTTGAGTGATGATAATCAGGGAAGGGGAGACTTAACTTCTCTGGTTCACTGGCACTGCTATCACACTGCTCTTCCTTTTAGGATGTTTTTTTCCTGGCATGCAGACAGAGTTTCCTCTTTTGTAATCTGAGTTAATTTTTGCATTTATGACACTGAAATAACCCTGTATAGATCTTAAGCTATTTAAGAACTGAAGAAGCTACTTGGATGAGAAGCGAAACATCTTAAGGAAAAACAAAGAAAATCCAGCTGCCTTTGGAAAAAAAAGTACCTTTGGAGCAACCATGGCCTGGATGACTGAGAATCTGCATAGACAAGGAGGCCTGATATCTCTCCAAATCAAAATGTTCACTTTCTGAGATTCTTATGAATGCATTTGGCATTCATAAGTGAGCGTCACAATTTAGAATAAAATTTGGTTTGCAGTCAGCTACAATACTAGGATCATTCTCCCAAATATTATTATCAAGTTTGGTTTCCTCAATAAAACATTAACAATATTATCATCAAATTGATCATATGATTATCATTAAATCATTAAAATTCTGCATTACTGTATATGTATGTAGGTATGTATAATGAGCAAGGTCTAATTATTACTCACAACTCCCTTATGAGAAGGGTTGAAAATCCTTTGAGTACAACCTATAATATTGTGTTGATCTACTTAATCATATCACCCAACTCTCACTTAACTAGGTCATGACTGCAATGATTTTTACATTCTGGAGTACTTTGTTGAAATCTGAAATCAAGTTATATCACCGGCATTCCAACAATTTATTAAGGAAATGTATTGATGTGTGGGAATGACTAGGTATTAGGAGAACAGATGCTGCCTAGAAAGAATCAGATGTGGGAACCTGCAGTTGCATAATGAACAAAGAAGGGAATTCAGAAAGGATCCTTCCTAAGTTTTCAGACAGTAAAAACAGTTGGTGGGAGATTTGTACTTTCAGACTTGCAAGATCCTGTTAATGTATAGTAGACTTACAATAAAGAAGAAGTAACACATGTGGTTGTGTTTCCCATCTGGGTTAGATGGGAGATGATTAGCTGGAAACTTACTTCTTGACAAATCCATGTTTTCTGATAATCACCCTGCTGATACAAAGAATGTAAGAATAATCTTTTTATTTGTTTACTTTCTTCATGACCTGCTCTAGAGTGTTCTGTATAATTGCTACATTTGGTGAATTATATTTTGCCCAACCAATCCTTTTCACTTTTGAAAAGAGTAGTAATACTTGTTCTCCCAACAAAGAATATTTGCAGATTAGATAACTATTAGAAATATTTAAATGTGAAAAAGACACATGAGATAGAAATCAAGTTTTCTGCTTTTCAGTTTCTTGGATTTTTCCATTCTAGCTTCATCCATTTCTGCAGAAGAATGAGTTTTGCAATCTTTCAGAGATGAAAATGTATTTGGACAAAAATGGAGATCTGGTAGCAGATGTGAACATTGAGAACTTGGTAGTTCTCCCAAACAACAATTACACCCAAGGGAGACTGGGGAGTTTTGAAAGACAGAGACTTATTATCAACCAAGATCATCTGTCAAGACTAAAGTTGCTCAACAAGGTCGGGGAAATATTGTTTTCCTCTGTTTTCTAGAACCTTAGGACCCATTTCAAGTGGGCTAAAACTAATCGCCAATGTTCATGATCTTCACTTAGATCTGAATGTGAAGTGTAAAACTCAGATTTCTTTGACTGCTTGGGAGGTTTCAATACTATGGATCAATGTATCCTTCAGATGTTNGTGCATTTTGTTTTTTGTTGCCTAAATGTAGAACCTTACTCTTTTCACCAGTGATGAATGGTGAATGTGCTTTAGTTTCAGTCCCCTAATCATTCTAGTTGCTTTTCTCTGCACTCTTTCTAGAGTTTCAACATCTTTTTTATAGTGTGGTGATCAAACCTGGATGCTGTTTTGCCCATGTTATGGCCCTGTTGGAGCCTGGTTCCAAAGAGGAGGTTGAGACAGAGCTAGGGCTGATGAAGAGATGACCAGAGGTAGTCCTGGGTCCCTCGGGCCTGGGGAGTTTTACCAGCAAAGGAGAGAGGGCACAGGAGTACCAAGCGAGGGGGAGGAGAGGGCAGGCAGCAGAGTAAAGGAGTAACAGAGCTCTGGTAATGAGCAATTACCTCCCCCCTGATCCCCAAGCACAGAGAATGGAGAGGAGGCTGGATCAGCACAGAGTGACCCCCACAACTTGGGAGAAAGGTGCCAAATGGGACCATAATCCTTCCTTCTCTGCCAGCTCTAATAGAATGGGTTAATGCAAAAATCCACATCCTATGCCTTGAAGACATTTAAAGGTTTAAAAGAGCACATTGAATTGGGCCCAGAAGTAAACTGGTAGGCAATGCACTCTCACGTTTGGTGTAACGTGATGCTCTGAAAGCATCCATGATTGCTCACCCCACTGCATTATGCACCAATGGAAGCTTCCTGGAATTTTTTCCAGAACACCCCATGTAGAACACATTATAGTAGTCAAATATGGAGGGAACCAGAGCATGAACGACCATAAATAGGGCCCGTTCCCCTAAAAACTGGTTCAACTTGCACACAATATGAACCTTTTAGCCATAACTGCTACCTGCTCATCAATCCTCCAGATTGTTCACCAGGTCTGCCAGAGGCAGAGCAATCCAATCCAGCACCAAAGCCCAAAACCACTCAATCCACTAAAGCCTGTTGTTCCTATGTACATTCTGACAGCCTACAAGCACTGGAAAAAGAAATACACAGCATCACTATATTTGCCTAGGGCAGAAAAAGAAAATTGAGCATCACTAATGTACTGAAAATATGTAAGCCCATTATGAGGGATGAGATCATTCAGTGGCTTCATGTAGATGTTGAATAGGAGAAGAGGAAGTACACAAAATAGTGGTTGTAAAGGACAAGATCTATTTTTCCGAATTACCACTCCCTGGTATCAACCCCAGAGAAAGATGACAAACTAGAAATATTCTGTGCAACCCTCTTACAGTCCTCTGAGGTGATCGAGAAGGTCAATGGTACTGAAGGTTACAGAAGATCAAGCAGGGCAAGGATTGATGCACAATGTCCATTGCACCTTCATCAAAGGTCATGAAAAATATTAATCAATATATTTCTACCCCATACCTGTGCCTGAATCCTGACGAAAAGGGATCCAAACTATCTTCTTCCAAGGTTCCTCTGAAGTGGTGCACAATTAGTTTTTCAACCAACTTCTCCAAAAAGGGAGNGATTTGGCTATGACCAAAATAGGTGCTGAATTATTATTCTTTAGGACACAGATCATGGTCCTCTCTGCTATTTAGTATCTCCATTTGGCTTGTCCTAGTTGAGCACATTGTCCCTTAGAAGGACAAGTCAACATTCTCTGATATGTGTAAGCCGCCAATACTTGGTCAGATTTATTTTCTTTTTCATCCCACTGGGATAATGCAATAGGCCTTCTGTTCCTAGGAAGAACATTGAAGGCTTTCAGTTCACATGAAATCATAATGAGAGTTGGCAGGAATCACCAATGCCCCAGAAGACAAGCTCAAAATCCATAAATATCTTGACAGACTTAAACAATGGGCCCTATCCAACAATATGAAATTCAATGTGGAGAAAAGCAAAGTTTTACACCTGGCCAGGAAAAATCAAAGGTACAAGTACAAATTAGGCAAAACCTGGCTCAAAAGCAGTAACTGTGAGAGAGATCTCGCTAGAGTCCTAGTGGATGATCACATAAATATGAGCCAGCAGTGTGTGGCAACGTCCGTAAAAGCTAACACAACCCTTGGTTGCATAAACAGAGGCCTACAGTACAATCAAAATTATGTGAAATATTAGTATAGCTCTATAAAATCTTAGTAAGACCACACATGGAACACTACATCCAGTTTTGATTACCATATTACAAAAAAGTTGTTGAAACTTTGGAAAAAATGCAGTGAAGAAGAACTAAGATGTTTGAAGGCCTGGAGACAAAAAGAGATGAAGAACAGTTGTAGGAATTGGGTTGGCAAGTCTGGAGAAAATAAGGACTAGGGGGGACATGATAGCAGGGTTTCAATATTTGAGGAGCTGTCACCAAGAACAGGGGAGCAACTTATTTTCCAAAGCACGAGAAGGCAAGACAAGAAACAATGGATGGAAACTAATCAAGGGGAGAAACAACCTGGAGTTAAGAAGAAATGTTCTAACAGTGAGCACAATTAACCAATAGAACAGCTTGCCTCCAGAATTTGTAGGTGCTTCATTACTAAAAAAAAATTAAGGAAAGATTGGACAGTCACCTTTTGAAATGGTATATGATCTCCTCCTTGAGCAAGAAGTGGACTAGAAGACATGCAAGGTCCCTTCCAGCTCAATTCTTACTATTATTATAGTTCTGATGTGAGCTGTTGCTCTGACACAGAAATATGGAGCACTGAAACAAAACTTTGATCCAAAGAATTCCTGATATCAGAAGTAATGAGGAACAATTTGCAATGAAATGTTACTTGGATTTGTCCTTTGGGTTGTTAGAGGGCACTTAATGAACCATGGTGGTGCAGAAGTTTGAATATAGTACTGCAGGATAACTCACTGCACAGTCCAGGAATTCAATTCTGAATGGCTCATGGTTGACTCAGCCTTCCATCCTTCTGAGGTTGGTAAAATAAGGGCTCAGATTGTTGCAGGCAATATACTGACTCTGTAAACCACTTAGAGATGGCTGTAAAGCACTATGAAGTGGTATATAAGTGTGAGTGCAATTAATCCTAAAATTTCATGTTTATCTTTATAGTTAGCTACTGTAAGTCTTTCTGGGGGGATAAATGGAGGGTTCTATCTAATAACAAATCTGAGTCTGTCTATTCATGATAGTTAGGGTTTCTTACCTGCAGTTGTTCAACAGAAAGAAACTTGTCTCATGTTGTTGTGTTCTCATGTTCTACAGCAATGGTGAGTTTCAAATTTTTTTAGAACCTCTTCTGTAGGTGTGACCTGATTTGTGGGAGTGGCTTGCTGGCCATGTTACCGGGTGGGAGTGGCTTGCCATCCATGTGACTGGGTGGGCATGGCCAACTTGTAAAAATTCACTTAACAACGCTCTTGCTTAGCAACCAAAATGTTGGCTCAGAAACTCTGGCATTTCTGGCAAGTCTTAAAGCTGTCAAGTTACAAGACCCTTGCACCCCTAACCTTTTAGAAAAAAACCCAGAGGTGTTCAAACTTGACAGCTTTAATGCTTGTGGACTTCAACTCCCAGAATTCCTCTCACTCTTCATCTTGATGATGTGCAGATGGGCAGGGGAAGGGAACTGGAATGGGTTCTAAATAGCACTGTAGAACTGGCAGGAACCCACCCCTGTTGTACAGCAAAAGATGCCTGACTTACCCTTTGGGAAGTTCACATTTTCACGATCTCGCCTCCATCTTCCCTTTAATTCTAAAAACCATGTAGCCAATTTTACTTGTGTTTTGCCAGTATGGCAGCCATGCAAATTGAACAAATAAACAAATAATGTTTCCTTTAAGGTTGTCAGCCCAAATTTGTAAGACACTTTTCCTTTGTATCTTAACTGGGAGATAGTTTTGGACTACTTTCAAATGGAAGCAGCTTTACAATGAATGTTTGATGCACTCCAGAAGAAACCTTTCCAGACCTACTAGTCAGATGTTTCTTTCTTCATCACAATTGTATTCTATTTTATTAAAGCTAAAAGAATAAAGATTGGTAAAACTTTTAGAATAATTTTTATTCCAAAATTGAATAAGAATATATCATCATACTATATAGTGTGGAGGAATGCATGTTAATGCAGCTATGAGGAGGAATCCACTGGCTGACACTTAATGCTTAAATATGTTGTCAATTCCATTCCTCAAAATTGTATTTAGTAGAAATGCAATGAAATATTCCAGAAGCAAAAATGCGGAACTATATAGTCTCTGTCAGTAGATGTATGAACTGCAACCATCCATTCAACTGTTTGGAAGTTGTTAAGAGATTTCATATTTACCTAAGCAAAACCCAAAGAATATTTATGTAGTTAATATTCTTGTTGCCCACCATTTTCCAGAGATGGTTATTGCTAACATGTTCTTTTTGCATTCCTTGTTTTTGTTTTTTCTGCTTAGTCTCTGCCTCAGTCCAAATGTGCAGAAAATTGCCATCCTGGATTTGTCAAGCAGGCTCAAGAAGGAGAACCAGTTTGCTGCTACAAATGCATTGCTTGTCCAGAGGGGACTATCTCCACTCAGAAAGGTCGGTACCATTGACAAAACTGCTGGATTCAACCAAAGCATTTTGATCAATGTGTAGGTTAAAACACACACAGAGAGTGAGTGAGTGAGTGAGTGAGTGAGAGAGAGAGACAGAGACAGAGAGACAGACAGACAGACACAAACACACACACACACACACACACACACAAAAAAACTTGACTATGTTCTTGTTAATTTTCAACACACCCAATTTCTTCCAAAATGGGAGGAATTTTAGAAAGGTGTTGAAGGATCAGGCAGGATGAGATACCATATTTTTTGGAGTATAGATGCACCAGAGTATAAGATGCACCAAGGTTTTGAAGAGGCAATTTTTAAAAATATTTTTAATTTTTTCTCTGCAAACCTGCCAAAAACGGTCCTTTTTCGCAAAAACCCATCCATTTTTTTTCAAAAAAAAGGCATGAATAGCCTTTAAGGAGCTTGCAGAGTGCTCCTGGGGGGAGGAGGGCAAAATGAGCAAAAAACAGCCTATTTTTTTGCAAAACCGGGCTTGTTTTTTGTCAAAAAAAAATGCATGCATAGCCTTTAGGAGGTTTATAGAGTACTCCTGGGGGCTGGGGGCCCTACAGTGAGCAAAAAATGGCCTTCCCCAGTCCCCAGGAGCCCCCTGAAAGCCTTCTACAAGGCTCTGCATAGCCATTTTGGTGAAGGGCGGGGTGTAGGGACTGTATTCAGTGTATAAGATGCACCCAGATTTTTAGCCTCTTTTTGAGGGAAAAAGGTGTGTCTTATACTCCAAAAATATGGTAGATGGGCATTGTGGATTGGGATGGGTTACGTCTGCCAGAGGAAAACTCATTTCTATTTGCCAATTTGGAAGTATCCTTACATCTGTGTCCTATGAACATCTGAATTCTTTGTAACTTCAGGAATGTTTTTGGATCAATTGATTTTTGTTACTCAAAGACACTTTACATTGCAGACAAAAAGATAGATCAATCAATCATTAAATTAGTCAATCTCTCTTTAAAAAAATCGTAGAGCCACATCAGGAGAAATAGCTATTTGTATGTTCCATTGTGTGTGGCCAAAGACTTTTGCCAATACTGTCATTGTTTCTTTTACTTGTTCATCTCCCATTAAAAATTTAATAAATAATATACAATACAATAATGGTTTATGGTTTATTAGCATTTGTAGGCCGCCCTTTTCCCTGAGGGGACTCAGGGCGGCTCACAGGAAACCAGGGAGGGGGAAATACAACATTATTGTATTGTATATTATTTATTAAATTTTTAAT